TATAAAACCTTTTTTTTTTTTTTTTTTTTTTTTTTTTTAGATTTATTCAGTTGAAGAAAGTTTGCTGCCAACCAGCAGCTAAAGAAGGTATGGCTAGGTATAATTTATGTAAAAATGCTATGGAATATTATGCTTACAAAAAATGTTTACTTAAAGGGATGTGTTAACAATGTGAGTGAGTGCAGGTACAACAGCAGGAGAAATTGCTTGAAGGAGATGAGATGGAATAGGATCAAGCGGACAAGTAGTAGGATGATTGGAAATGATGAGTTTAGAATTACATTTAGTTTAAATACAACAAAAACAAAAGAGGTCCCAAGATTTAACCCTGAGGTACACCACAAGTTAATAGTACCATAGAGGAAGAAAACAATTCCAAGCTCCACCAAAAATCAGAAAGATACCAGAAATGTAAACCATGGTCAATGGTGTCAAAGGTCAAGCTTTTTTACACTGGGTTTTGTATCATTGTAGTTTTATTAATGTATGTGATTTCTTGTTGGTTTTATTATTTGTTGTTTTATTTGTCAGGATTTATGTACAGCACTTGGGTCGGCACTGGCTTGTTTTAATGTGATCTAGAAATAAATTTGCCTTGCCTTAATTTTGAAAACTAAAAAGTATGTCCTTCAGTAAAGAGTTCATGATCATATTTAAAGTGGATCTTGGTATAATGTGTGATGGTGTGAATATTTGATATTGTGAGGTAGTAATGATGTAAAATGGTCATGACATTTCTTACTTTTTTTGGATAAAAAGTTGGACTTGCTAATACAAGTTAACATTCAATTTCCTTTGATCTTACATAAGTAAGAAGAAATGGAGTTTCTGAATTACAGTTTGCAAAACACTGACTGATTTAGTAATGACACCTAATAAAGCTACTCTCAGATCATAATGTATATATCCAAAAAATGAAAGAAACTTCTGATCTTTTAACTATAACTTCTAACAAAGATGTGCTTCTATGTCACTCTCATTTACATCATAATCAAATTGAAACTTAATTGTTCTGTAAAATGTTTGGTGTAATCTAGTATTGGTCAATGGAAGCAGTATAGAAGACAATCCTTTCTTATAAAAATACACATTTTAATATAAATTGAAAAAAAAAGAAAAAAAGAAAAAAAAAATATATATATATATAAATTATGAAGTTCTTATTACAAAAATATTAAAGTAACATTCTTATCATCATATCTATTATTATCTATTATAATTTTTCATTAATATACCCTTAAAGTAGACTAATTACTTGCAAATATGAAATATATACAACATTTAAAAAAAAGTAAAAAAAAAAAATATGAAATATATACAACATAAAAAAAGTTAATTTAACTGAGAAAAATCACCCCTATATTAGTATTTGAACACTACTCTAATTGCACAGCGTAAAATATTCATTTTGTATAATTTTAACAATTGTTTGTTTAAAAATAGGTAAAAACATACACACACAGGCCCGTAGCCAGCTACGAGGTCACAGAGGTTCGGACCTCTGTAATTTTTTTTTTGTTCAAAAATAACATTGAATGAACTGAATGAGTAATTTTCTGTTTACAACTCATATGAATGTTTGCATAACATGTATAATTCAGTTAAGACAGTTTGTAAGAATGTTTAGCGTCCGCGGTATGAAAATGAAAATGAACGAGGCTTGAGAGAGTTGTGACTTGTGAGTGAGGGTGCGAGCGCAGCCTCTGTGTTGCCAGTTCTAGCTATAATAAGCGTGTCTTTTTCACTTAATTTGACACTTTAAAAAGTTAATCAAGTGGGAGGTTTCACATTAGGGTCAGCGATATTTTTATCTTATCTTATTTGCAAAGATTTGAAATAATTTTGGTTTATTTTTTATTTTTATTTTTATTTTTTATTTATTTAGTTTTTATAGCAATATCTGGCAACACTACATCGCCGGCACTTAAACTAATCAAAAACGCCCATTGGATAGGTTACTGCTGACAGGATAGCACATTCGGTAAGGCAAATGCAAAAGAAATAATGATATTATCCATCAGAAATATTATCAACGCTGTCAAAAACAGTAGCATTTAACACTAGTAGTACACAGATCTAGAACAAGTAGGTTACAGAATGAAATTACATTTTCTAAAAACACTAGCCATGAAAAAATCTATGCTATTTAATTTAGTAGGGTATAGAAGTAGTACATTTTCACAAAGTCATGCCAAAAACATTCATAAGAGCACTAGACAAAGTTATCAGCTATATGTGACCATGGACCACAAAACCTGTTGTTTAAAGTCTTAAGTCGCTGGGGAAATTTGTAGCAATAGCCAAAAAAAAACATTGATTGGGTGAAAATGATACATTTTTCTTTTATGCCAAAAATCATTAGGATATTAAGTAAAGATCATGTTCCATGATGATATTTTGTAAATGTTGTACATCAATGGAAAACTTATTTATTCAGCTTTCAGATGATGTATAAATCTCAATTTAAAAAAAAAATACCCTTATGACTGGTGTTGTGATCCAGGGTCACATATAGCAATGAATATTAGCAAAAAATCTATAACAGTAATTTTATCGTTGCATGATTAATAAACAACTGATAAAATTATCCACCCCATAGTAAAATATTAACAAATTTTAATGCAATAAATATGGTATAATTTAACAGTGTTCATCCCTCATTAAGATCACATCTAAAATGATGATCAGCATATAATTAGAATCAGTCTACATTTGAGAGCTTCTTTAATTGGAGTCAGATCAAATTAATAACACAGTCAGTCTAAAGTAAATTAAACTGTTCAACACAATTATTCTAGAATCACGAGAAAAAAATATACCTGCAGGAAATCACTGATGACGCTGTCGGATCAGTGGGTGGATCTTTAGGTGTGTGCTGTTCACTCACCATTCAAAGTCGTGTGCTCTGCAAATGCAGGGTTCTGCAGACAGGATCCTGGAGTTGTCCCATCCAACCACGCAGTAGTTTCCTGGACGACGCTTCATGTAGATCTGCTTTTGACCCATTATGCATGGCTCACCCTAAGAAAACCATATCTAAGTCAGTTGCAACCGATATTGCAATTTAGAAATTGTGTTTTTGCTTGTTTTTCGTTTTACCTGGTTATGCAGGTGCCAGGTTTGGTAGTCTCCCTCTGTGCACCTTCTGGTGAATATGGACTTGTAGTCAATTTTGATAAGCTGCCATTCAGAACGATGACTGAAGTGTCCAAAAAACCTGACAATTGACAAAGACATGTTTCATTCTCATACAGCTCACTCATTTTCAAGTGAAAATTAGCTGGTCCAGACGTGTAAGCGTTGGAATTAATCTTCGCAAAAATGTACATCTCCAGAGGCTGGATTGAGCATTCCTGGGTTACTTCATTAGCTATGTCTGAAATTGCTCCCTGTATCCTATAAATTGTACAATATGGGGTTAGTAGCATTATCTGAATTCAGAGTGAATGATGCCCTATGTAGTTCATTCTTTTCTAAACGAAGTCTGATATAATATACTTTCTTGACTAAACTGGATAACACACACACAAATCATTTTAAATAAGCAAATACTTCTTATGTGATTCTTATTGGCAGTTATTTAATTCCCTTTTTTTAATCATTGTGAACACGGCAAACAAACAGAACACAGATTTATAAAAAAAAGACTATGAAACCACTTCATAAAGTCAAGTGATATTGAGACAGCCAGATAGATTCATAAACACCAGAAGAAAAAAAAACTACAATGTAAAATAAAAATGTGTGAGACTTTACCAAATCTGGTGCTGTTTCTATCTGTGTAGCACCTACTGCTCTGCAGATCCTTATGCAGATCCCTCTGTTATAGTTTATTTTTAACAATAATTTCCTGTTCATTTCAGTCCTATTTCTACAGAGATTTTTTATTTTTTTTCATTTGTGTTCAAAGTAATAATTAAAAAGTAAGATACAACCCTATTAAACTACATACCAGCACTGAGACATAATGAGAAGTGTTATTGGTTCACTGAGACTAACAACATTAGCTCAAGAGTCTGACTAATTAACCTTTCCTCACGAGTGTATCTCTTGAACGAACAGGTTTTTAGAGCTCAGAGGAATCTATTCTTCTGTAATAAATAAGACATAATGAGGACGCACAGGCTGTGTGCGTGTGTGAGAGAAAGAAGGTGGTCAAAAACAAACCTCTATAGACTTACGTCATTATCTGATTTTCTACACCTGCCTCCACCAGAACACCATCCACGAACAGCGGCATGGCTGAGAAACTGTGACGTGTCCACTGACGACCTTCATCAAAGCTGATCCTGCAGAAGACATCGAAATGTTCAAATGTCAATGGATGACAAAACTACAAACAAACAAAAGAATGTTGTGCATGCAGTGCTGTGTAGATTACTGTAAATTGTAGTCTGTTACTGATTCCAGATTACATAACAAAATGCAATTAGTAACGTAATCCATTACATTACACATTTTAGGTAATATAATTTGACTACTTTTTTATTACTTTTAGATTACTTTCAACCTAACTCGTTTATCACATTGATTTAAATAGGATAATCTTGTATCGTATTACCAGATTACACGTAATCAGTTACTACCCAGTTTGGAAGTGTAAGTGAATGATAACAGAATTTCCATTTATAGCTGAACTATACTTTGAATAATCTATCTTAGAGGGAATAAGATATAAACAAAAAGTAGAGATACATAAAACCCAGTAAAAGTACAATAAAGATAAAAAAACAAAACAAAGCAGAGGTCGAAGAAAACCAGACGCGACATGAAAACATACAGAAACGTCTACAAATGTGGGAGGGAACAGAAGCAAGTAAAAGCTGGAGAAAACTTTCTTCCTTCAAGTCTGATCATGATACTTTCTGACAGCTTATCAACATCATTTCACAGGTGCAAACAGTATGCTAGCATGTGTGACAAGGTTGCAACAATGCACAATGGCACTGCTTCCAAGTTGTCTCCGGTCTGCTAAAAGCAACAGTCGGAGTTAGTGTTGACATGTATCCATTAAGAGAACATAAAGTCAAGGCTGTTATTTGAAGTCATACTTGCAGGAAATGACACGACTGACCTCCACAGTTGTGACTCCACTTACTTTTCACTTGAGTTGTTTAAGAGAACTAAAAAAATTAAGGTGCCACACTTCAGTGGGCCTAAAACTAAAGCCAAATGCTTCGAGTGATAAGAAAGAAAAGATTTGAGACTCTGGAGTATTAAACATCACTAAAGCAAAACCAGGGAGGGCCAATTTAAAGAAGGAACCAATGTGTGAACTCGGGGGGGATAAGTGGGAAGCTTTAATATGGAACACTTCCCATGGTGCGCCACGTAAAAACTGATTCCAATCTGTTATTTGGCAGCCTTTGTGTCCTTGCCATTTCATTTTTGTTTGTGTGGGGAACATGTTCAATCTACACAAACCCAACGATTGATTTTTTTCCCTCAATGATCTTAATAGCACAGAACCGACCCTGTCAGACAGATGGAGTGCCGACCGAAGTAACTGAAGCGGGAATTTCACCAAACCAGCATGAATAAACCTGGCAGAAGCAAGCTTATTTTCACCTACCAAAGATGTCTAGTAGGCACAGTGGGCTGCTTCACGGCAACCAAAGCTCCACCTTTGTCCAAAAACCACACGTTGTGTTCTTCCTCAAAAATCTGCATCATGGGAAGAACAACATGGGGTTATTTTCATTTTATTGCACAAATAGGCTCAAAAAGGCACTTTTGCGTGGACATTTGTGTACTTTTCTCACAGTCATACAGTAGTTTTTTTCTAGCTTTTGTACTCTGATTTAACCTTTTCGGTTTTGCAAGAGAGTTCTACAGAGATGACGTATTTGTGATGGACAAAACCCAGCAAAAGTTAACATTTAAGCACTTCCGGTTCCATTGTTCTGAATTACATGGCTTTTTTTGTTTAATGCCTGAAACATAAGGTTTGTGGTTAATACAAGCTCAAGATTAGGGCTGTCAGTAATGATTATTCTGGTAATCGAGTAATCGGTCGATTATTCTGACCATTAATTGAGTAATCGGATAATTATAGTTTTTTTTTTTTGTGGTAATAAAAATAGACCTAAGAGAACAATAGTCTTTAGAATGACATAAAATACATAATTTATTATAAACAATAGAGCTAATGTACATTACGCATTATAAAGCCTGCAGAGGGTGCCAGCAGCCTGACAATTGTTTTTACACTGTACTGTGCAATCTAATTCTTAATATTTACTAAATAACTTTTCATTCAAATATCCATTTAATCTTGAATATGTGGCTCTTTCTTTATAACAGAAATACTACAGCCACTGTAATTTCTTGAATATGTGGACATCAAAACATGTCAACTCGTTTTGCGAGGGTTTAAACTTTTATTTTGAAATCATAATGAACAGTTAGCATATTGAGAAAGATATTGATGTGTTCTTCTGTGTTTGCGTAGGTTTATAAATGATTTACCTTACAAATCTGATGACATGGCGCACGTTGCGTTCCCAGATGAATGGTATAAAAAAACGCAAAATCACAACAATATGCAGAGATGGAGTTTGAGATGGTCCACACATGTAAATGATAACAGTTTGTGTGGAGCAGCATTTACTATGAATGGAGCCGCTCTGAAACGCACATACGTAACCTACACGCATGTAAATAATTAAAGCTCATACATTAAACCTGCATCGCATATATTTATTTAATTGAATCGTAACATTTGTGAATTCACAATAGCGTTATGCTTTATTACGATTTTTAATTTTTAAATGGGTTTAATATATCATGCAGCCTTGAAAAAGGGTCTAATAATGCATTTCATGGATTCTCATCCATTGAATGCGCCACTTCCGGTATTTTGATGGTTACTCGTCACGAGTGTATCACAATTAAAAACCCTCTGTGAGTTTACTTGAAAAAATGCTTTTGCTATCAAGTGGCTAAATGGGAAGTATGAACCAGTGTGAACCAGCCATACCTGTCTCCAGTTATTGCCTGCATCTGATGAAATGAACATCGCCACATTATTGTAAGACAGCTCAGAGCCAATATTTCCTGGGAAATGAACCAAATCCCAAAAATAATTGTGTTAAATAATGAAACAACATCGAACACCAGCATAGCACATTCAAAATTCATAAATCAACAAATGTGTATTTGTACTTGAATAAGCAGCTTTTGTAATTGAGGTCAGACAGCATGGTTCAATATTTGCTCAATCCATGCTCATACAAACTCAATATACTCATGCATACATACACACAAACATGCATACAAACAAACTCAGTTCTGACTGGCATGTTCATGAGCCCACAATCCTGACACACAATCATATTGGACAACAAATGGTTGCTTCCAAACAGCAATGAGGTTAAATGGAGGTTTTGAGAAGAAAAAAATCTTGATGTCTCACACTGTGCTCAGAATTACCAAGACACAAAAGTCTGAAATTAAAAATCAAGTGCCACAGTATGAACTGAAACACTTCTTATCAAATGTCTCATCCAAGACCAAATGGTTTGAGCTATGCTACCAATACTCATTTTATATCTCATACTTTTACACTGTCATCAATTGTCTCATTTTGTGCATTTTAGATCAACGTTACTTAAATGAAGTATTAAAAAGAAACGTCTGAGCAAGATTTTTTTCCCCATGACTCTGAATTAGAGAAGAGAGAACACGATAAAGATAAGGTGAGTGTCACAACTTCTACTCTTGTGTATTGTAGTTGTGTTGTTGTACGCCCTACACACACACACATCATGACTAGCATAAACCCTCCCGCAGTCTCTTCCGCTGTGTGCTGTTGCCCTGTTCTAAGACTGCCACAAAGAACTGAGGGGAAGTGATTGTACGTCCTTGAGTTGCCTGTGAGAAATGAGTTTGTTTCCTTCAAGTGACAACTTTAACAGCAAACCCACTGGGAATGTAAAATGAGAGAGCTATTCATGTTTAAAGAACATCTGTATATTTAAAACGAGGGGCTATTTCAAACTGATAAGATGACAAATATTTGACACCTGACTACTCATTAAAGTACAGAACAAGTGTATAGTTAAAATGAGTATCGACACTGATATATATACATATATACATATATACATATATATATATATATATATATATATATATATATATATATATATATATATATATATATATATATTA